CAGTTCCCTTATACCGAGTTGTTGACGAGTGCTCTCAGAGAGCAGGACTGCAAGCCGACTAGAAAATCGTAATGTGGATCCGTTAGCGTTTGTATTTGTATTGTATTGAGAAAGAACTTGAGGAAAGCCGGCGTGATATAAAAATTCACAGTAAATCACTAAGGGTCAAAAGCAACCTTTCGATATGGATGATACAATATCCACACAAATTCATTGTTAAATTTTATTGAAATTATTTTTCTAAAACAAGTTTATTAAAAACTATCGCTTAAATATCGTCCTCGACGTTCTAGAGAGAAATGCAAGTTTTTCAAAATCGTCATCTATCAGGGGTGTTGTGGAATCTGATAGTTGTCGGAATCAGAATTTAAACCGATCAAAAAAAGCAGTAGGTGTAATGAACTCAGATATTATTGGTTTGATATTCGAAACAGAATTTGTATCGTTTCTGGGTGTCACGGAAACCAATTATATCGGTTTTGCTGTCAGAAGAAAATCAAGATAATCGCACACAGATTTTAAATGTATGTTAAGAAATCAAGTTATTTTTATATTACGGATTAATTTGTCTCTATTTGTATAGGCGAAAACATAAGTACAAAACTCGAAACTTCAAACATCTTAATCAATGTTTTGCAGATACATATGAATAATATGAAAATACGTTATGTGAATGCTCAGTATCCTGGCAGCAGTCACGACTCTCACATATGGAAGGTCAGCAATGCTTGGTATTTTTATGAGAAAAAGTACTTTGATGGTGATCGAAAGACTTGGCTTTTGGGTATTATGCATACATTTGTATATACATTTATGTTACAAAAATTCCCAAATTATTTTGTGGGCTCGTGAGCTTCACTTCGAGCCATGAAAGGCATCTCAATTCGTTAATGTTGCGGCAGCGTTCCACAACGTTTGTATTCACTATCGCGTAAATGATGAAATTTTAGAAAGTAATTCGAAGCCAAATATATTTACAAAAATTTTTTCATCAACTTATAATGATGCAACTTCACAAATCACAGAATCAATATGTGCAACACTTACACGAATATAACATTCTAAACAAGTATTAACATAAAATATTAATAGTTTTCATGAAGGAACATTTGCTGTTTTATGGAATTCATAGCCGCTATTGAATTCTCCATAGCTATGCTATGCCTTCCAATTTCTTCCACTTCCGCTTTTTTCAAATCGTTTTGCTTTTCCGAAGCTCTGCCTAGTCAACGCCAGATGAAAGGTCGTCCAACTTATGCAGAACCTTTTTCTGAAATACTTTTTGAATTGAAATTTGTTCTTATAAAAATTCGGCAGTACATGCATCCAGGGGCCTAGAAGTACGTCTAGGAAGTGCTGGACTGCAGGTCACTGATGGTATTGATACGTCGGCCTCTGTCTCATCGCCAACGTAGGCTGCCAGCGGTAAGCCCATGCCTATCTCTGTCGCCATCAGTAGCTGACTACTCCTTTTTAATATCCATCTATTTTCTTTTTATGTAGGCCTTCCTGTAGTAGGCCATACTTAATAAAAAATAAGTCAAACAAGCTTTAAATTATCCTGTTATAACAATAAAAACTACAACTTTATTTTATTACGTTCTTCTAGCCAGAAATATACTTGATAAGCGAACCAACAACTCCAAAAGGCAGTCCCTTCTTCTTTAGAACACTTGGTTTTTGGTTTTTGATGTAAGAGCTCAACCATTAGTCCACATTGCAGCTTGGTGGTAATTAGACCTGCGGAAATCGCATTAAAGATTATTTTACTGGTAACAAATATATTTGAATTCAATAAAAACTTACATTTTCTTTTAAATTTATTTCTACGCTAGCAAAAACTTGTCGTACAAAAATTCCAATGTGCCACTCCACGAATGTTCGAATTGCATGATAGGAATTTCATATGTTTCCCAGTCTACGATGGATTGAATGATAGGACTGATTACCATTGCTAGCGGTGATCTGATAAATAGCTATGCTAACTCTTGTCACAGATCATCTGCCCATAATTACCTCGATCGAGAAACCTCCCGATTTTGTTTCTGTGAACAACCTGACCTTTATTTACTTTAACAAAGCTAACTGGATGACTTCACAGAATTTACTGAGAACGCTTTGCCCATTCGTACGGAAGTAACCGTTGGAGAACGTCGATTCGGCAAGGTGATCTGAGCAGCTACCACTTGCTTCATCCCGGCTGGAAGAATTGTGGAACTCCGCCCTAATTTGCCAGCCTAAGCAGCTGTTTTAGCCAACAAGCGCGACATCTTACGCCATGCCGAATAAAGGATCTCAATTTGGAGATTCGGCGATTGGTAAATCCACAGAAGCGGAAGAAATGGAGCTCTTGATATCCTTTAACCCCTCCACCGGTGTGAGTAAACTTTGGTCTACTGTCAAGGCTTTTTCTAATCCGCAAAAAAATGATGACGGCGTTGAAGGTCAATTCGGAGCCGAAGAAGTGCGTGAACTATTAGACAATACCAAACGATGTGTTACCGGACGGCTGCAAAAAATTCCAAAAGACTGCGTTCCACTTACTTTGACTGTTAAGAAGGCTCAGAATATCATCAGCAAGGCAAAAATCATCCAAATCCATTAGAGCTGATGGAATCAACATGCTTATGCTGGGCGAGAGTAACTTACCTCTTCAAGGTCCCCGAACTGTCGCTGGGTGGTGTCCGACCCCGTCGAAACTACACGTTTCTTGGACTACCCGTTAGATCACGTCAACAACTTAACGAATCCTTAGCACCCAAATGGGCACTAGGTATCCAATAAAACAACAACAAGCGCTTTAAGTCGCCTAGTAGCAAACGGTTTTCATCACGAACTAGCGCACCTATGTTCGAGTGATATCCCGTAGGGCAACATGTATCTAGGTGGATGTATATATTAAATATTTCGATAACATCTGACCGGATAGTTATACCCTGACATTCAAGGGTAGTACCCCTACGGTTGATGTCGCCATCGATAAGACTATGTGCGCGGGGTTGTGTATTATGAAGGGTAGGCCTCGACCATTATCTCGCTCGCGATTCTTACGTATAACGCTGAAGGCGACAAAACTCAGAAGATCTGGAGTCCATTGCAGTTTAATTGCAGAATTCGAGTTGACCAGAATGGGAGTTATGCTGCCTGTTTGAGCTCCTATGGACCATTTCGCAGTAGTACCTTGGTAGAATGAGGCCATATAACTCGTGATCCACTCCCCGTGTGTCTTAAGGCCTGAGCAGATCATAAGATGCATCCATCCATTGCATGTTTTACACCTAACCAAGGTAGAGTTTGGATGAAGCCTTTTAGCTCAGGCGCAGCAAATAAAATTGCCTGCAGCAGAGACCTGCTTCAGTGATGACATATTTAATCTAAAACTTATCGAACCAAACGGGATTATATATACGAAAAATCAGCCCTTGGCGGGATAAAAACCGAAAAACCGAAGACTGTTCAGCCGTTTTATACTTCTGCACCAGTTTTTTTCGTACTTTTACTAAAAACAAATTAAAAATCTAGATTGACTTTCTCTCCAACCATATTTATATCTATCAATTATATATTATAAATTACTGGTGGCAGATGTCCATCAGTCAGTGAACAATTGAGTTGTATAAAAAAACGTCCATTATTGAAATATTCTATGCGATGCAAATTCTTAACTTCTGACCGATACTGTTCAATTGTGATTGTTTCAGTATTTTTTTGGTTTGTTTCATCTGTATTACTGTTGTATAGGTCATCGCCTGGCATTAAGCTCACAGTACCATCGGCACATTTCTTAATAACAGGAAGCATTAGGGTAACACCCTTTGAAGAGCGAACACGAGCAAAATTTATTAATTCATCTAAGCGTGGGAAATTCAGTAACCTTGATAATTCATATAACTGTGGTGGAGGAAGATACAGCTTTTGGTCAAAGTAATCCTTAATGAACTCTTTTGGCGTTTTCCACTACAATGCGAAAAGATTATTTATAGTTCTTAAATTAAGTCATTAAAACAAACCGAAAAACTGGCAGCTTCATTACTTTCCAGGATCACATCTGGTATATTCTCCATCGCCACTAAGTAAAAACCAGTTTCAAATCTACAATAGAATTCTTGATATTAGTTTCCTTATTTACAAGCGTGCAAGTGCATATAAAGTTACCACTTATGATTATATTTCAGTGCGAATACTTAAGCGCCAATTAAGGCTTTTAACTCAACTCCTCTTTGTTGAAGTTTAGAAATTGGTATTATCGATATTAATTCAAAACGACAAAAAATTTCGATTGATGCATTGCCGAACTTCCAACTTTTATATATAAAACTACAACTGCTCGTTGTCAGCAGTATTTGAACATTTGTGCAGTTTATTTTGAAAAAATATCAATTTAAAATGGAGAACGGGTTAATTATTTTTGAAATTATTTGCACATTCCTTGAAAAATACAGTCAATCCCAGTTATGTGCCACAATCAAAGATACAGATGTTTGTGGTTTGTAAAAATAAAAATATAATATGGCACATAAACGAGTGCGAATACTTAAGCGAGTGTTACTTAAACCAACAATTAGTATTTCATAAAACAAACCGTAAGATGCAGCAAGATATGGGCAGTTAAGAGAGATGATTTTCATTTAAGCGGAATACTGATTAACCGGGATTCACTGTACACAWAAATCAGAGGAATATTGAATATTTTATTTGGCACATTTCTTGACTTGAAAATCGACAAATAAACTATTTTGTCAATTTTATTCTAATATAATTAATTTTAATACTTATATTAACATACATATTACGCACAAAGTTTATTTTCTTTCGCTTATTCTCTCTTGCTCTTCTATTGTGGATCGTTTACAATGCGTAACCAGCCGTCAAAATTACTTGAAGAAATAATGTATTTTTTTTCTTGAGCAATGACTTGAGAGCTGGATGCCAACCTTTAGAAGCAAAGAAATAAGTCTGTGGAACATATTGTGAATATAAGGGGTCGACTCAATATATTATCCCTATAAAAATGAACTGCAGTTTTGGTAACTACCTTCAGCAAGGAAATGGTCAGTTGCGCATCAGACACACGACAGTACATCGCATACGTTTGGGAAAAACCTAGGATTACTTTTTTAAAATGGAATACTACGCGAAAGTAATTCAGTCACACCGACATGATAAAAATTTTATAATCCAAGTATTATCATAGAGTTTTACTTATTTTTGTTTATTAAATGTAGCAGGATGGAGTCATGTGTAGAAGCTCACGCATGTGACTAAAGTTTTCTGATCGCCATTCACTTGGGAGTGTCCAGAAACGATTCTTTTACATATGACTAAAGCAGCTCACGACTTCCGGTCCTTGACCAAGTATCCTCTGGGTAGCTTAGAACATCCGTTTGAAGGCGAGCTGAAGTGAGAAGGCGAAACATTCCCTGCATAAGGTTGTACGCTGGGTTTCGGACCCGCCACGTAAAAAAAAA